GAAGTAAGCATCATATGATTAGTATAATGAGTAGATGCATATAAAATAACTTCAGCTTTATTTGGGCCACTTTTTAAATATTTTTGTGACTTCTGATATCACCTGAAGGGATATTTATGGACAGGAAAATTGTTATTATTGTTTGTGTTTCTTTTACCTTGCTAAGAATACATATGTATCATCTGATAAAATTATCCTAGAAAACCTTGAGAGATTTAAGTTGCTTACTATTATATGTTATAACATTGACAGGGCAGATTAAAATTACATAAATTCTGGGATTTTAGTTTCTCTTAGGTAAGCTTAGGAAAAACTGAACTGGAAATACCCCAGTGACATAGAGAACAGAGTTCTACAGAGGGTCCACTGCCTAACTCAGGTCTGTTTGTTTGTTTAAGATAGAGTTTTGCACTTATTGCCCAGGCTGGAGTGCAATGGCACAATCTAGGCTCACTGCAACCTCCACTTCCCAGGTTGTGGGAATTCCGAGTAGCTGGAATTACAGGCTTGCACCACCATGCCCGCTAATATTTGTATTTTTAGCAGAGACAAGTTTTCTCCATGTTGGTAAGACTGGTCTCGAACTCCCAACCTCAGGTGATTTTCCTGCCTATGCTTCCCAAAGTGTTGGGATTACAGGCATGAGCCACTGCACCGAGCCTTCACCCCTTGTTTTTTTTTTTTGAGTTGGAGTCTTGCTCTTGTTTCCCAGGCTGGAGTGTAGTGGCGCAATCTCGGCTCATTGCGACCTCCGCCTCCCAGGTTCAAGTGATTCTTGTGGGTCAGCCTCCCAAGTAACTGGGATTACAGGTGCCCGCCACCACACCAAGCTAAGTGTGTGTGTGTGTGTGTGTGTGTGTGTGTGTGTGTGTGTTTTCTTGAGATGGAGTCTTGCTCTGTCGCTCAGGCTGGAATGCAGTGGCATGATCTTGGCTCACTGCAACCTCTACCTATGGGATTCAAGCGATTCTCCTGCTGCAGCCTCCTGAGTAGCTGGGATTACGGGCGCCCACCACCATGCCCATCTAATTTTTGTATATTTAGTAGAGACGGATTTTCACCATGTTGGACAGGCTGGTTTTGAACTCCTGACGTCAGGTGATCCACCTGCCTCACCCTCCCAAAGTACTGGGATTAGAGGCATGAGCCACTGTACCCGGCAATTTTTGTATTTTTAGTGGAGATAGGGTTTCACCATTTTGGCCGGACTGGTCTTGAACTCCTGACCTCAGGTGATCCACCCACCTCAGCCTCCCAAAGTGCTGGGATTACAGGCATGACCACCACACCCGACCAGATTCATACTTTTTGGAGCCCTTATTTAGGTCTGGCCCCACCCTGAAGTCTTGCCTCACAAAACTGATTTAAAATGAGAGATTTTGCTGGTGAATCCTGCTGCCTTTCTAGAGCTGGTGCTCAAAATTTCAGACCCCCAAAAGGAGGTAAATGAGAAAAATAAACTGTATATTTTAGGATCCTAATTTTTAAATTTTGTGTTAAAACCAGTGCTTACAGAAATATTCCATTTAGCAACTTGTTTTCTATTCCTGCAGATCCAGTAGTTGTTCCACAAGTCACAAAAAAGTGAATATAAACGCCATAAAAATTTCTCTAAACTACATTAAATTCTCTCATTCTGTATCCCTCCTATTTAGCTTCTATTCTATACATTTTATTTTTTAAAATGACAGAGAAACAGATGAAGAAATAAAAATGCTGAATCCTTTATCTAAATCCTGGGAATTATTGAACACTTAGTACCAATTCCCAGGGTGTTGTGAGGATTAAGTCACATAATGTGTTATTCCCCACACAGTGCTTTGTAACATACTCTTGAGCAGATAGTACCTGCTTAATAAACATTGCATTATTACATGTTTACATGTTGTTTTTCTAATGCAGACTCATTCACACATTGTTGCCTTCTGTTTCCTCTGTAAACTTTAAAGAGCCAGCAAAGAATACGAAACTTTTGGATGGAGATTGGTTGTCTTTATTTGTACCAGAAATATTCGTGTTGTGACAAGAGAGCTGAGTGTAAGGGACTCTGTGCTGTGCCTGCTTTCTCTAACTACTGCTAATAATGAACCCAGGGGTAGCAACATCAGCATTGGCAGGGCACTTGTTTGAAACACTCATTCATGGACTTTTTCCAAACCTGCAGATTTACATTACATAGAGTGGGACCAAAATTCCCAAGTAATTTTGTTTTTTTTTGAGATGGAGTCTAGCTCTGTCACCCAGACTGAAGTGCAATGGCACGAGCTCATCTCACTGCAACCTCCACCCCCCGGGTTTAAGCAATTCTCCTGCCTCAGCCTCCCGAGTAGCTGGGATTACAGGCATGCACCACCACACCAGCTAATTTTTTATTTTTAGTAGAGATGAGGTTTCTCCCTGTTTGTCAGGCTGGTCTTGAACTCCATACCTCAGGTGATCCGCCCACCTCTGCGTCCCAAAGAGCTGGGATTATAGGCATAAGTCACCGCTCCCTATCCTATTACCAAGTAATTTTTAAGCTCGTTAAAGCCTGAGAGGCAGTGCTTATCAGCCCACTCCTCTTATTAGGATTACTAAAAATACAAAAATTAGCTGGGCGTGGTGGCATGTGCCTGTAATCCCAGCTACTTGGGAGGCTGAGGCAGGAGAATCACTTGAACCTGGGAGGCGGAGGTTGCAGTGAGCTGAGATTGTGCCATTACACTTGAGCCTGGTAAGAGAGTGAAACTCCGTCTCAAAAAAAAAAATTTTTTTTTTTTTGCAGAAATCTCTTTACTTTGCCCTTTCCACAGTTTCTATTTATTGTTCCCGATGGAAGCATCCATGTTGTTTTAATGAAGGGCCTCATGTGACTCTAAGGTGAGGCCAGAATCAAGTATGAGGCCTTCAAAATAGATTCGTGAGAGTGAAGTGCCACCTTTGCACTAAAGGGTGGTCACAGGGCCTATTCTGTTTGGGTTTGGTAGGGACAGGGCAGTGTGGTGCATATTTCCATTACTGTAGCAGAATTTGCTGGTGTCTGTGGCAGGGGAGGGCACCTGTGGACAGGAAAAGAGGAACATATATTTTTATTTCCATGGAGCAACTCATTTTTTCCTGAATCTCTTCTGTTATAAAGGAGAGAAATGCATGAACTTTTTGGTCTTGGTCCTTCTTTCTGTGGTTGTGAGGCTAGTGTCTCTGTGTGGAGGTGGTGCTGCTGCCTTTAAGGGAATTCCCTTAAGATGCAGGTGTTACTTGTTCAGAGAATTTTATCTGAAAAGGATTTCCAGAGGAGGAGGAGAAAGAGGAATAATGGCTTCTTTTCAGCTACACATGTCTCAGATCGATAGCTGTGTCCACTCTGCCTCCTGGAGTGCCATGTGTTTAGTACTTGCAAACCTTCTCTACTTGTGTTTTTCCTCCCCAATGAGTTTGTTTGAAGTACTTTAAAAAATTCTTGTGATAGTCAAGGGTCTCTAAAAAATACTTGTTTCTGGCCAGGCATGGTGGCTCATGCCTGTAATCCCAGGATTTTGGGAGTCTGAGACAAGTGGATCACCTGAGGTTGGGAGTTCAAGACCAGCCTGACCAAGATGGATAAACCCCATCTCTACTAAAAATACAAAATGAGCTGGGCGTGGTGTCACATGCCTGTAATCCTAGCTACTAGGAGGCTGAGGCAGGAGAATCACTTGAACCTGGGAGGCAGAGGTTGCGGTGAGCCGAGATCGCACCATTGCACTTCAGCCTGGGCAATGAGAGCAAAACTCTGTCTCAAAAAAAAAAAAGAAGTTTCTTGTGTACCAGAGCCTTCTCTACATCATGGCCTTTTATATGCAATGCAGAATTCCTACCATGAATTTTTGATCTGCCATATTGAAAGTGTTCCTTTTGTGACTGTTGAACATGGGAAGATGTGGATACTCAAGATTCCTATTGGGGGAAAGCTGGGGTCCTTAATAAAGATGGAGAACATATATGTTGTGGTTTCATCTAAACCCAGGAAGTTCTGCAAAAAGTATTAAGAGATACCTGCTCTCTAGAGTGCTAAAGAAAGACTACTTAAAATCATTATTAAAATTATGGAACGCGAGAGATATCTTGACCTTTGCATAAAACTGATTTTTTTATGGTTAAATTCAGTCTAGAATTGACTTTTTGAGGGGTAATATCTCAGCAGTGATGCTATGTTCTTCTGTGTGCATCAGCACATCATAAAAATTTGTTCTAGTGTAGTTGATATTAATAATTTGCTTAAAGAGCTCTCTGACTTTTTTTTCACTGTAGAGTTAATTATTTTTTTCTTTATTATTAAGTATCTTTATACAGCTAATGTGCATAAACCATCACAATTAATCTGGTTTTTTTCCTTAGGTTTTTTTTTGTTTGTTTGTTTGTTGTTTTTTTGCATGTATCTGTCTTTGGAAAATGAAGACTCTTATTATTGTTTACAAGCCAGAAAATTTAGGAAAAACACAGTCTCTTTCACTTGCCTAATGTTTGACAAAATAGTCTTCCTCGGTTAAAAACATTAGCATTACTAGTGACCTTGTTAGAATTTTAAAAACTCAGACTTTATTCCAGACCTTCTGAAAAATATATATAAAAAAAAATCTTCACAACAGGATCTCCAGTCTATTGTACACATTAAAATTTGAGAGGTACCTTCTAACTGAACTTGTTTTTTCTTGTCTGAAAAATATACACAACTCATTATGATGTAAGTATAGCACTCAGTGATGTATATGTTTGTGTTTGTGTCCTTAATTATATACTTTATCATCCAGAGAAGTATCATATATGCACTGGTGTTGTGAATCTTATGCCATTCTCTGCCCTCAGAGTAAGAGAATACATTAGAAAATATTTCTGTGTTAAAAATTATTGGATAATTTCAGTTATTCTTATAAGTCAGAATCAGTTCTCTTTACTCTTTCATTTCACCTCAATTCAAATAATAAATTCTGCCCATGGCCCCTTGGTAAATATATGTGTGTCTGTGTGTATGTGTTTTTCAGGAGACATTGACATTTAGGGATGTGGCCATAGAATTCTCTCTGGAGGAGTGGGAATGCCTGAACCCTGCTCAGCAGAATTTATATATGAATGTGATGTTAGAGAACTACAAAAACTTGGTCTTCTTGGGTGAGGATAACTTTAATACACAATTTTTAATATACCCTAAAGGTTTTATGTCTCTATTTTGTAGAATTTTTTTGATAATTTATGCTTTGCATAAGTGAGTTTCTGATCCCAGTTTTCAAGAAAACCTTGATGATTTGTCTGTGTAGAAAAGAATTTCTTCAACATGTTTCATCTTGATCTAAACTTTCCACATTCCTGAGCTGATGTGTATCCTTCACTCTAGATTAGTGGTCATTCCAGAAATTTAGTGGCATAAACTATCATTACCCATATCTTAAAATCTGTTTGCCATCACCAATTTTTGATTCAGGTAGTAAAATTAAAAACCTACAAATTTAAAATATTTTCTAAATAGTTAGAGATGTTTCTCTTTAGTTAGTATTTTTGGATTAATTTTATTTGTTTATTTATTTATTTATTTATTTTTTTGAGATGGAATCTCACCCTGTCACCCAGGCTGGAGTGCAATGGTGTGATCTTGGCTCACTGCAGCCTCCACCCTGGATTCAAGCGATTCTCCTGCCTCAGCCTCCCAAGTAGCTGGGATTACAAGTGTGCACCTCTGTGCCCAGCAAATTTTTGTATTTTTAGTAAGTATGGTGTTTCACCATGTTGGCCAGGCTGGTTTCAAACTCCTGACCTCAGGGGATCCACCCGCCTTGCCCTTCCAAATTGCTGGGATTACAGTGTGAGCCACTGTGCCTGGCCAAAACACTTTTTTGTTTTTGAGACAGAATTTTTTTCCTGTTGCCTAGACTGGAGTGCAGTGGCGCTACTACCTGCCACCTCTGCCTCCCGGGTGCAAGCAATTCTCCCTCTGAGCCTCTGGAGTAGCTGGGACTACAGGCACCCGCCACCATGCCCAGCTAATTTTGTATTTTTAGTAAAGATGAGGGTTTCAACATGTTGGACAGGTTGGTCTCAAACTTCTGACCTCAGGTGATCTGCCCGTCTCGGCCTCACTTTGGATTAATTTTCTAGAATATTCTGTCACATCCTTTTTTACTGAGCACAGTACTAGGTTAGTAATTAGAGAATATAGGCAAGATTCACGTTATTTATTTTTAATAAAGCAGGTATTGCTGTCTCTAAGCAAGACCCAGTCACCTGTCTGGAGCAAGAAAAAGAGCCCTGGAATATGAAGAGACATGAGATGGTGGATGAACCCCCAGGTAGGTGAGAGTGAAAAAAAACAGATGAGAGGTCCAAAGGTTAAAAAAAAAAAAAAGCATATATGCCAGTCCTTACAGTGGGATTTGGGAAGCATCTAGTTTCTGGGAGGCCTGAATATTTTCTTAAGATTTTTTCTCACATGGGGGCATTTTCTGTCTTATGCTTTTAAATTCTCTAAGAATTCTACTTTTTCTTGGGGGATCTTCCTTCAAGCATACAATGAAAGCCAAAGTTCTTGTCATAGCATATAAAAGACTGTACAATCTGACTGCTTTTTTATTCTTTTGGGGGACACACAAATGTCTGTATAATTTTGAAAAATTCTTTGTTAAATTATTTTTTAGTTCTCTTTTTGAATCCTGTCTGAAATATGTGAGAGTAGGGATTTCTGTTCCATTAAGCGTTTCTTGTTAATATTTTTGCATATTCCATCCTGTTTGTTTTACTATAGTCTTAAAATTTTTAATTATAATTATTTTTTTTTTTTTTTTTTTTTTTGACAGTCTCCTGTGTCACTAGTGAGTCTGTCTCTCACTGCAACTCCGCCTCCGGTTTATGCCATTCTCCTCAGCCTCTGATATGACTACCCCCCCCCCGCCCTAGTTTTTGTATTTTAGTAAAGTTCATTAGCCAATGTCTGATCTCCTTTCGTATCCCCCCCCCCCCCAAATATTCGCTTGACCCCGCCCCCTAATTATAATTATTATGTCCCTCTGCTTTGTTCTTTTTTCTCAAGAATGCTTTGGGTATTTGAAGTTTATTACAATTTCTTGTAAATTTTAGAATTGTATTTTCTACTGTGAAGAAATGCCACTGGAATTATCATAGAGAGTTTATTAAATATATAGATTACTTTAGATAATATGGCATTTTAACAATATTTATTCTTTCAATCCTAGACATGAAATTTTTTTTTTTTTTGAGACAGAATCTCACTCTGTCACCAGGCTGGAGTGCAGTGGTACAATCTTGGCTCACTGCAACCTCCTCTTCCTGTGTTCAAGTGATTCTCCTGCTTCAGCCTTCTGAGTAGCTGGTACTACAGGCTTGTGCCACCACACATAGCTAATTTTTTTTATTTTTAGTAGAGATGGGGTTTCACCATGCTATTCAGGCTGGTCCCAGACTCCTGACCTTGTGATCTGCCCACCTCGGCCTCCCAAAGTGCTGGGATTACAGGCATGAGCCACTGCGCCCGGCCGACATTAAATATTTTAAAATTCATTTTTGTCTTCTGTAATTTTTTTCATTGATATCTTATCTATTTCATTGTAAAGATTTTTTACCTTCTTCATTATATTTGTTCTCAGAAATGTATTTTAATGCTATTGTTCATAAGATTATTTTCTTCCTCTGTTGTATCAGATAGTTTGTTTTAAGTGTATGGAACCATAACTTGTATGTTAATTTTATATTTTGTTAAGTTACTGACTGTATTTATTAGTTTAGACAAATTTTTCTTTTTTTTCTTTTTTTGAGATACAGTCTCACTGTGTTGCCTAGGCTGGAGTGCAATGGCATAATCTCAGCTCACCACAACCTCCGCATCCTAGATTCAAGTGATTTTCTTGCCTCAGCCTCCCAAGTAGTTGGGACTACAGGTGCCCGGCACCATGCCCAGCTACATTTTTTTTTTTTTTTTTTTTTTGCATTTTTAGTAAGACAGGATTTCACTACGTTGGCCAGGCTGGTCTTGAACTCCTGACCTTGTGATTTGCCCCTGTCAGCCTCCCAAAATGCTGGGATTACAGGTGTGAGCTACTGCACCTGGCTGTTTAGACAAATTTTAATGTACTGTTTGTGGTTTTTCTATATATAAGATCATATGATCCACAAACAGCAACTTTTTACTTATTTCTCTTTAATTCCAATGGCTTTTTAAAAATGTTTTTGACTAATTCTTGTGCCACACACTTTCGGTGCTACATTAAAATAGAAGCATTGACAATGGGCACAATATGGTTTTATATTGGCGTCTGTGAATTTGAAGGAGCAAACAACTCCTTAGCTTTTATAAACAGGTTTCAGGAGGTAAAGATCTTTTTCTGTTGTGTCCCTAGGGTGATGGGATGCCCTCTCGGTTTGTAGTGAAGAGGGGTTGTAGTTTTGTCACAAAGCTGCTGGGTCTGCACTAGAGTCCACCTTTAGATGGCTTGTCACAAGGGCTTGGGTACTTGTAATTCCCATTTTGTTTTTGGACAGATTGTATATATTCGTTAAGACTTTGATTTGTAGGGCAGACACTAAGGCAGATTTCTGCAGTTGGCTGCATGTATAATGGCCCTTATATCAGGATGTGAATGGGTATTGCTTTCACTGAGTACCAGAGAGGATTTCTTCATTTCACTGTGTGGGTTTCTATTTAGGAAAAACTGATCATGATCTGTGGCTCAGAGAGCTGGAACTGAGTCTTTGGACTGCTTCAGGGACCACAGTAAAAACCAAGGTCTGTAGTCCTGTCTGCAAGGCTGCAAATGGGTGTCTTCCTCCAGGTCTCTGGAAGGGCAGGACCTTTCCTAGACTGTAACCAGGAGGAGTTTGGGATGGTTATAGAGTTAACTTCAGAATTCTCTGTTGGACCAAGTTGGGTGGGCCATTTCTTGATCTGTAGCCAAAACCAAGGGTCCTGTAGTTTCCCACATGAATAAGTGCCTGTCCTCTGAAAAAACACCCCTCAATCTTGGGCTTTAGCAGTGATTCACAACTCCCTCCCTGCATCTCAAAGCTCTCTTAAAGGCACTTACTTTGGAGATAGGATCTTGTTTATCATCTAGGCTGGTCTTGAAATCCAGTCCTGCAGCAATTCTCCAACCTCAGTGTACCATGTAGCTGTCATTACAGATGTGAGCCATGATGCCTGGCTCTCTCCTGAAGGCATTTTTTGTCAGGGATGACTGAATAATTTTTTTGTTGTGGCGAGGTTAATCAAATAGAGCACCTTCTGTTTTTGTATGTCACTGATGTTACTCTTTCTATACATTTTTACTTTCTATTTTCTATTTCAAACTTGTCTGTCATTTTAGATTCAGACATTTAGGACAATATGCTAGAGTTTACATGTTATGCCTGAAGTAAATTAGATAATTGGTAGGCACTCCTTATTACTAAAATGGTTACTTATAAATTTAAGTTTGCTGCAGGTAAAAAGGATTTAAAGGATTTTCACCCACTTTCTTCAGCATATATCTAAATGATAACATAATTTCCTTCTTTCTTTCTTTTCTTTCTTCCTTTCCTTTTCTTCTCCTTTTTTTTTTCTTTTCTTTTCTTTTCTTTTCTTTATCTCAGTCTGTCACCCAGGCTAGAGTGCAGTGGCATGATCTAGGCTCACTGCAACCTCCACCTCCCAGGTTCAGGCTATTCTCCTGCCTCAGCCTCCTGAATAGGTGGGACTACAGGCATGTGCCACCACACTTAGCTAGTTTTTTGTATTTTTAGTAGAGATGGGGTTTCACCATATTGGCCAGGCTGGTCTCGAACTCCTGACCTTGTGATCCACCTGCCTCAGCCTCCCAAAATGCTGGGATTACAGGCGTGAGCCATTGTGCCCGGCCCAACATAATTTATTTCTAAATATGTTTTACACATCAGAGGCTCTAACCCTATTTTGCAAAATATAAGTTTTAATTTAGCAGTGTAATGATATTCTTTGCTTCTAAAGTTGGATTACAGTAGTTTCAATTTTGTGTAAGAATAGCGTATATTTAAAACATAAAATGTGTCACATTTTTAACATGCTTTTTTTTTTAAAGTTTCTTGTTAGACTATTCTATTTATAATTATACTGCATATTCTGTGAAATTTTACTGCTACACAGTGCATGCCAGTGATTCAAAATACCTGCCTTCCCTGAGTACACAGTCAACTATTGTAGTTATCCAGACAATTCTTTTTTTTTTTTTTTTTTTTTTGACATCCCTCTTCGCCCCCCCCCCCCCCCCCCCCCCCCCCCCCCCCCCCCCCCCCCCCCCCCCCCCCCCCCCCCCCCCCCCCCCCCCCCAGCTACCACCCCCCCCCCAGACAATCTTTTTAATGGCACATTAATGTTGCATACCAGATTTTATGAGTAAACATGTCTCTTATTACACAGTTTCTTATTAGTGTTTTTTCAGTGTATATTTCTTAACATCAGCTCTTTGTGTTTTTTAGTTTTTCTTATAATTTTAACCAATTTGCAATTCTGTTTGTATACTTTAAGTCAATGTGAGGTTTAATTAAGAGATAAGTCAGCCATACATCTATCATGATCAGATTATATATGTGTGTGTTTTATCTATAAATATGACTTCATTATTGGTTATGACTTATCGTATATATTCTTTCTTAGCTGATTTTCAGTGGCTGTTTTATCTTGTCTAAGTGAGTAGTCATGAAAATATTTTCTTTATGTCTTATTCTCACCATGTGTCTAATGATGAATATATGTGTGTGTATATATATGTATATATATATAAATTTTTTTTTTTTTGAGACGGAGTCTCACTCTTTCACTCAGGCTGGTGTGCAGTGGCATAATCTTGGCTCACTGCAACCTCTGCCTCTTGGGTTCAAGTGATTCTCCTGCCTCAGCGTCCCAAGTAGCTGGGACTGCAGGTGTCTGCCACCACACCCGGCTAATTTTTTGTATTTTTAGTAGAGATGGGGTTTCACCATGTTAGCCAGGATAGTCTCAATCTCCTGACCTCGTGATCCACCCGCCTTGGCCTCCCAAAGTGCTGGGGTTATAGGCGTGAGCCACCGCATATGTATTTTCTTTGTGTGAGAAAGACACTTTTGTGATTTGAAGGTAATTTTTGAGAAGATTTATAATTCTGTATTTTTTTGTGTTTTTCCTTTAGAAAAATTAATTGTTGTAAAAACACAAAAAACACATAACAGGCTGGTCACAGTGGCTCATGCCTGTCATCCCAGCACTTTGGGAGGCCGAGGCAGGCAGATCACTTGAGGTCAGGAGCTCCAGACCAGCCTGGCCAACATGGTGAAACCCTGTCTCTACTAA